ACATGCCACGTTTATGATGCACTGGCGGCCGTTTCGCTAGCTTCACTTATACCAAATTACGGGACCTGAATGGATGACGAAGGTATAATATTGGTGCAAACATGATAAACATGAGAAGCGTGTCATGTCGCAAGATGAGTACATGCTATGCTCATGATGCGCTCGTGACCATTTTGCTAGCTTCACATTTACCAAACTCGGTATTACGCGACGCGAACGGACGACATAGATAAATGACACATACAAACGTAATAATCATGACATGCATGTCATGTAACAACATGACTACATGGCACCCTAATGATGCGCTCGCAGCCGTTTTGCTAGCTTTACCTATGCCTAATTTGCTATGACGTGACGTCACTGAATGACGAAGGTATGTGACTGGTGAAAACATGATGATCATGAGATGCTTGTCATGTGAGAACATGACTACATGCCACAGTCAAGGCGCCAACACATTTGGACGTGACGTGCTGCGCGTGCTCACCGACGTTCATTTCGTCGCGTCACGCCGGCGTTACGACGCCAGGCGCCGGTTTTGCCATATACTCGCTGGTGCGCGCCGCGCTGCATTGCTTTGGCGCATGTGCGTTTCAGCGCGTTCGGCATCCCTCCGTCACGAAAAGAGGGAGAGACGCAGTGTTGTCTGGGTAACGCATCGGCGTGAATTTCGCGCCTGTTGCCGTAGGGCCGCGCCGACGGACGCTGGTCACACCAGTCGCGCCTGGTGTCAGTCTGTACAATGCTCACGTTTTGCTAACGTAACGTCGCTGTGCTCAGCAATGTCGTGCGTCAGCACTACTACATTGTAGTATAGTGGGTCCTCCATGATGCGCTTGTGGTCACATTGCTAGCTCCACATATACCAAATTTGTCGTTAGGTGACGTCAATGGTTGACGAGATATATGACTGGTGAAAACATAATAATCCTGACACGCGTGTCATGTAAGAACATGACAACATACCACGCTAACAGCGTGGTCGCGGCCGTTTTGCTAGCTCCACATATACTAAATTTGGTATAACGTTACGTGAATAGATGACGAAGGTAAAAGACACATCCAAACATGATAATCATGACATGGAAGTCATGAACGGCATCACTTACCTCCACCTCGTAACGTTGTGCTGATTTTAACGTGACATATCAACTTTTTTTATTCGTCTTCGCATATCATCGATTCCCACTGTACGTGGGATCTGGCAATTTTGTTTTTTGTGATGCAGGCCGTCGAACCCTGAGCATTGAATAAAACAAGTCATGTGTGATCCCTTAGAAAAATTTAGTCATTATGTGCTTCAAAGTCATCTTCATTTTCATATCGTCTCTTGATTAGCGTTTTTTGATCACTACAAGGACTCCAACATCATTACGAAGGTTTTTCTTTCTTTTTTTGTTGAAAAAATTAGAATATTTTGAGGGATGGCTAGGGAGGTAAGGCTGTCAAAGTATATATCGTACCACCCTACTGCATGGTAGCATTATATTTTCTCCATCAAGTTCTGTCTTATACACTGATTGTGCTATTGTACTGAAGTTTGTACTTTGCTTTGAACTTTCTGATGGTATACATTCAACAAGTCGCCCCACCGCGGTGGTCCAGTGGCTAAGGTACTCGGCTGCTGACCCGCAGGTCGCGGGATGGAATCCCGGCTGCAACGGCTGCATTTCCGATGGAGGATGAAACGTTGTAGGCCCGTGTGCTCAGATTTGGGTGCACGTTAAAGAACCCCAGGTGGCTGAAATTTCAGGAGTCCACCACTACGGCGTCTCTCATAATCATATAGTGGTTTTGGGACGTTAAACCCTACATATCAAATCAATGACATTCAACAAGTCCTTGGGAGTTGTAAATTTCATCGCCGATGTACCGAGTGCTTGTAGCTTATCGTCCGTAACGCCATCAGTATATTCTGACAAGAAAAACGCTAGAGAATCGCCAATGTTCTACTTTCATGATACAATGGCTAAAACTGCAATCCTTTCCCGCAAACAGAGTAGCAAGTGGCTTGTTATATACGCCGGTGGAATTCCCTATTTTTGCATTACACAGCTTTCTTTCTCTCACCGCTCTAATGGTGCCACCTCTTTCGGTGCCATTATCAAATTAATGCTTTGAATCAAGTACTGTGAGCCTTGCTACCAAGTGTATATGTTGTCGTAGAAACGAAAGCTGGCGTTCTTACACAGGTCTTCCGCTTTGAATTTAGGCCTCTATACAGCTAGAAATAGAAGCTTCTGGATTGCCTAAACCTCAACCTTCACGAATCACATGCGGCGAGATCGGTCTAACCATATTTGACCCATACTGGTACGACTCCCAACGAACGTAAGCCCAGCTTAGCGGATGAGTCCGTCATTCATGTCATCGGCACTTCTGAGTTTAATGGTATGCGATTCTGAGGAGTAAGAATGAGTGTGCAGTAGAGCATTGCCACCGGTTAACCCGAATGAATCAATGTTTCTTGCGTATAGTGTCTGCACAAGAAGCGATGAACATCGATGTGATGCGCACTCATGCATTGACACGATGAGATACTTTACTGCACATTCAATTTAGTTTTTAACAATCGGCGACGGAGTTGTAGCTATCAGTTTAGAGGTGCGTATTAGTACGCACCGACACGGCCATTGCACTACCATTGCGCATACATATGCGCAACGAAAAAATCCACAGCCTCTAAGCACGGATAGAGCTTGGTGTAGTCATTAAGACAGATATTCCTAGGATTAGCCACGGAACATTACGATGCCTTAAAGCACGGTGAAACTGATGATCGATCCTTGGTGAAAGATGCTGTAACTAAGTCGAATTTTCAAAAGAAACAGAAGCTGGAGGTGAAGCGACAAGTGGGTAAGTTTATAAGCTATCTCAAACCACATACTGTTATACACGGAACAGCTGCTCTAAATACCTGCCTCAACATACATAATATAGCATGCAGAACTGAAAATGGTTCTCAGGGTCTAGGCGCTAATAAAAAAGCTCGAGCGCATTTAATCGAAGACGCTCTTTAAAACATGTCAAAGTGGCTCAGCAAGGTCCCGGGCCAGAAAAACGTTGTCCAACCCCATGACGCCAATTCATCGATGCCACACTGAATATTATTTTGCATCCTCTTCGCTGCCCTAAGGCTGTGGATTGAATTTGTGCCAAGATTTGACGCTTCTCCCGCGTCCCACTGCTTGACATCGCTTCAACTCTATATCGAAGTCGTTTCGGTTGATCATCGTCAACATTCGAGTGACCTATTTTGCTTTAACCGAGATAGTAGGCCCTCACTGTAAGCGTGTTCAACAACCAATTTGAACTGAATGAATTTCTTGATTGTTCTTCCACGAACTAACTCTAGGCATGCCTGTGATCTGGCGGTAGTTCGAGACACAATCAATGCCGATGGAGTGGCCGTATGTTGCGCGTCCACGTAAACTGGGGCTAACATCACTCAGGAGAGCATGCCCAAGTTGTAGCCTATGGTTGCTGATTGTCATCTTTTTGAACTTACCCTTGCACTTTCCGTTGCTGGATAGCACGCATTGAAATATCCCGGACACTCAAGATGTCCGCGAACTATTTTTGAATTGAAATTTCTTGAAGGCGACATATACACTGCCTGCAACAGTTAGTATAATTTCGTTATTTTTAACAGCGACGCACGCATGTTGGACGTTATCGCGAGGCGTGGTAACTTACAAGACGAGGTTGAGTTCAAGACGAACACAGAAAAATATTTTCTGGCATGAGCCATTTGTTGCAGGTTCGGTTCCATTTGTTGCAGACATGTCAGCTTCGTAACCCTGCAGTTTCATTGATTTCGAAATGCTGGGCTAGCGAATGCGGTCTGTTGGAAGACGTCGACATGCACAAACTCACGGAAATCTGAAACGTGTTATCGTCCTCTGATGTTTTGTTAGATGGCGGATCCTGCCATGACCTCTTTACGTAAAGATTAGGGTAGCTATCTTTCTAGTTGTCTGAGTCAAGCCCTCAGGTTAAGGCCTTCAACATTTCAAGTGTGCTTCGAACAACCGTTCTCCCCTGCCCACCAGTAATGTTCGGGAGCATTCAATGAGGGAACGTAGCATCCGAACCATTTGACGGTCTTTTTTTAGGCATATCATTTACGACTGGAGAAGTAATAATTCATTGGCTCATCAGGATCGGCATCAATTCGCTATGGTGATATATTGGTTATGTGGCTTGATGGCTGACGCAGAGGCAACAGGGATCCGGTCTCGGTCACGGTTGCCTCAATTTCGCTAAAGTCCAAATACTTCAGACACGTGTACCTAGGTTGGGCGAATGTTAAAAAATCCCCGCTGGTCGAAGTTTCCAGAGTCATCCGTAACCGCGTAACAGCGTGCTTTGTGGTTTTGGGATGTGAAACACGATGAAATATTATAAAGTTCAGTGTATTGTAGAAAGACGGCTAAAACCACCTAATATTTCTGGTGGTTTGTAAAACCTAACACAAAAATATAAATATTTCAAGTCTCTCATTCCGTAATTAATGCTCAGACGTGTCAGGCCTAAACTGCTGGAAAACATACGATCAGGTGCATGCCAATTGTGTATTAAGTATTCTACGTTCCACGAGTTCGAAACGAAAAAAAAAACAGCGCTAGCCTCAATTTCGGTGAAATGGTACGTTATTATCGCTGGTAGCTCATTTGTTTTACCTTTAGAATGCAAACAGCACACGCTCGAACGCATTGCGTCATTTTGTTAATTTTTTTTATACCGACGTGAAAGTATGGTACCCTCAACGACGACTTTTATTGAGACGAATCTGACATGTACTGTGGATACGTGCGGTAAAATACACAAATATGAACAATATGATGACGCGTATACCCTCCCCTCTTCAGAACACTTGCACCTTGTCATGCCTAATGATTGCGTATGCTGGACTGTGCAGTCACATTACTCGCTCACGCTCCTCTGCCGTCCAATCACAGGGCGGTATTTCAGACGCCCGGGAACCATATAAACGGCAGCGATTTCCCACGAGCAATTCGAGCGGAGGCTTCGCCAGACATACATCCTTCAGAAAACTGTTCAACTTTGAGGAGAGATGAAGGCACTTCTACTGCTCCTGGTTGTCGGTATTGCTCTAGCAGCGACTGGTGAGTGCGAGGAAAGCATTCACTGAAAGAGTTGGCAACTTCCGCTTTTGACATTGTAATGGCTGATATTTGTAAAAAACAAGAAATGCCGCTAGTGTGCATGCAATAGGTGTATATCTTATGGCAACCCATAGTAGTTTGTACTTGTCACGGATGAAAAAACAACCTATAGTAAATAGGGAGAAAGCCTTTCAAACGAACAACCAGTGCTTGCTACACTTCTAATGAAGGAATATGCAAAGCTTTGGCACAAGACATGCACAGAACAATTCAGTATGCACAGCCACCAAACAAAATGTTCTAGTGAACATCAAGGTGGTTTTATTTATGATAATAAGAATTATAAAAATGCATTCTAACAAGTAATATAGCTTGCATAAATCTGAGCGCTGGGCACCATCCATCGCCTTATACATGCTTCAAACAGCATATTTCGCTTTTCCAACAATCAATACTTTTATGTGAACCGCTGTGTCTCTATAAAGTTATAGTAAAAAGCGCCATCTGCTAAAACATAGCATTTATTGCGAAGTCACTTTTCGAACATACAAATGCATTGAGCTTGAGACATCTTCTACTGTACAATAGCTTTTCTTTATTACAAAAAATATGTGCCTGCGCATGTTGTTATGCTTCAAGGGTTACTTATGCAAAAACAAATCTGCGAAAGCTTCACTGGTTTTGTATAGCATGAATAAAAAATATCTGCTGTTATACGTCCCAAAACCAAGATATAATTATGAGAGGCGCCCTACAGTGGAGGCTTCCGGGAATTTCGACCGTCTGGTGTCCTTAAACGCGTGCTGACATCGCACAGCGCAAGGGGCCTCTGCTGTGTCACCTACATCACAATGTAACTACCGCGGCCGGAATTGAACCCGCGACCTTCGAGTCAACAGCCGAGCGCCTTAATCACTGCACTAACACTGTGGACTCAAGCAGGAGTCGAACTTTACCTAAGACATCGACGTACTGAATAAAACAGAGCTAGGAAATAATTTTGGTAGGCATATCTTATTTAACTTCCGAGATAGCATGGCAAGATTGGCTATAAACAGCCAAATTGGGCTGCACAAAAGAACTGTTTGATAAGCACTTGGACCAAGTCACTATGCGTTCCTATATACCTGTTGAAAAACCTGCGATATGACTAACGGTGGTATCGACTTTGTTGATACTCCAGTTGTTACTGGGATTGGGCAATGAATATCTGAGGGCAGGTGTGCGTAGGTTCTTCAGTGGGCTGAAAGCTTCAACATTAACAAGAAATTCGGAAGATTAGTCACCTAAGTGGTTGGAAGCCTAGTCTATGTGCACCACCAATCTATGGTCAATTTTTATTTTGTAGGGGCGAAGCTCCTTAGTGTGCGTGGGTCATTTCCTCCTTCGTTTTTATGTAGTATATTATATATATAGTATGTATTTAGCCACCTCTAGTTTATTATTTGCTCAATAGATGGTGTTGTGTGGTATATGTCCTTGGTCATGCGTGGTCAAAATGTGGTCATGTGGCCGAAGTAATCTTTCTAGGGGACATGAACACTCACATACTTTAGTGGATAGTCGGAGATCAATGGCAGGTTATTCCAAGATCTCTGCGAGCCCCATTGTCTTGAGATAGTTATTGTGGGGCCTAACAGTGAGGGGCAGATTACGTGGAATTTCAGACACAGGCAATCCAGCATTAATTATTGTCTTATGGCAGAAATAATCAATAATAAACTTGGAGAGATGAGAACAGACGATGAAGGCATTAACAGCTTGGGTAGTGACAATAAAAGCATAACATTACAAATGTGTTATGAAACTAAAATAGGAAAACAGCGTTAAGGTTTGGAAACTTGTATTTAAGTGACGCACAAATAACAAATATAGCCGCAAGAGTCGAGCACTAAATAACAAAACTACCGGGCTAACACTGGGAGTATAGAGATCTTTTACATGTAGTTACGACAGAAATTGAAACACAGAAGAAAGCTATGGACTGGAAAGGAAAGAGACAGCCTAAGTTGTGAGGAAGAGAGAAATTCAAGAATTCGATCGAGAAGCGATGCGAAGCATAACGAGAGCGCAGACAGGCAAAAAGGAGAGGAGGCACAGGATGAAGTCAACCAAATATTAGAAAAATATACTTATAGTAAAAAAACGATTGTGCAGCAATTGGTCGAGGCAAACTTTAAAGTTGAAAGAATACTACTACTACTACTACTACTACTACTACTACTACGAATAAGAATATAAAGTAATAATAATAATAATAATAAAATAATAATATATATAATAATAATATAGATAGCTTCTTTATTAGCCCCAACGATGGACGACACTGCAGGTAAAAGTTGCTTAAGACACAAGCTACTGGACAAAAGGCCCACAGCCACCTCTACAATGCAGCAGCGACAACACACCGTGATGACACAGAAATGAAAAAATTACTCTTAATTCATACATGAACAGTTACATCAGCATCACTATTGTTTACTATCTGAGCCTAAATTGATGAAATGAATACGCAATGTTCGTATAGAAGTAAATGGCATTTCTATGTGTGATTTAGGACATGAGTTCAAAAGGTTTGGTAATGTGCAAGAGCTTCGCTGCATAGGTAATTTTTGCGCGCAGTCACCACCTTCCTCTGTTCTGTCTGACGAGTGCTACATGAATGTGTGTTTTTTGCTAGATTAGATAGCTCATGGAAGAACTTTGTTTTCTTTTATTTCGCATTTCAACGCTAGATTTAACTTAAAACTATAAAGGTTAAACACACGAATTCTATTTGCATTCAAAAATACATCTGAAGTGTCAGAGTTATATCGCACATTGGAAAACAGATCGTGAAATCTTTTTTTCTGTAGTATCTGAAGTCTCTCAAGGCTAGTTTGTGTCGTCTTACCCCATACAAAAAACAATAGTATAAGGAAGAAAAAAGAGTGTGTTGTAAACAAGAAGCTTTATTTTAAAGGGTAACATACACCTTTGACGTGACATCATAACAACTACTCGAGATAACTTAACTAAAACTGATTACACGTGTAGACCTCAAAGCACGATTTGTGTAAAGGTGACTCCCAGTATTCTAAATATTTACTATTTCAATTTTTTTCAAGAGTCCTAGAGAAGGGCAATGGTATTGCAGCTTAGTTGCTTAGATTTGGCCTGAAAATCACGGCATTCATCTTTTTGTAATATTTTGACGAACGTTTGCCACTGAAATTCTTGAAGGGGTTTTAGACAGGCATTGGCTTTGTTCTGAAGGCTACTGAGTTCAGGTGAGGAAAAAAAATAAGATTGTGTCGTCAGCGTACATGTCGTATTTTGAATCGGCGTATATATTTACTAGGTCATTTATGTAAGCGATAAAGAAAAATGGCCAGAGAATACTGCCCTGAGGAACGCCTCTACTGATGTGTTTCAGATCCGAGCAGCAATCTTCAACATAATAACGATGACAAAGGTAAGACTTCACAAGGTTTATACTGTGCCCACGAACACCACAATTTTCAAGCTTTCTGAGTAATATCGAATGATGAATGCAATTAAATGTTTTAGGAAAATCACTGTCAAAGCCGAGCACAAGATTTGTGCTTTCGAATTGTGATAAAGGGAATTCCTTTTGCTGAAGTAGGGCTAGTTCAGTGAACAAGCGTTTCCTAAATCCAAATTGGGCTATAGAGATAAGATTATGCTTATCAAAAATCTTAGACATTTGCACGTATATAAGCCCTTTGGATAATAGTGGTAATGTTGCAATAGGTCTATATTTTTTATATTTTTTACGTCCCTTCGCTTATAAAGTGCTGAAACGTTTGTAATCTGCATCCTCTTGGAGAAGATAGCGCTCGCTAAAGACAGCCTACAAATGCGGGTGATATATGGACAAAGAATATCAAGCACATACTGTATTGTACGAACCTGCATGTCGTCAAGATCACAGCTTGGGCTATTCTTAAGCGAACGAAAACCAGATAGTACTTCAGACTCTATAAATAGATGAAGGGAAAAGGAGGATGCATTGCTGTCTGGCGTGAATTTTGAATGATCAGCAGATTAGAAAGCGTCAGTGTCGCTCACAAATTATCATTAATTATTTGCCAAAATATTACCCAATATTTTGAAGCCATTCATAAGTAGCTTTTCTACACGTGGAGATAATTTAGGCGATTTAAGAAAATGTGTGCATTAGTGTATTGAACATTGATGCATTGATTTACGGCGATTTAAAAATATATGTGCATTCAGTGCATTGAATATATGTACATATATTCAATGCACTGAGAATATATATATACGTATCTACATATATGAAGCGCAAGTATCCTGAAAAAGACTCCGGCGCGCGAATTCGAACAGCGAACCTCCGAGTCGTGAATGCGAGGCGTTAACCACTGAAACACCGAGCTTTTTTTTTCTTTATTTTCGGTAAACTTCACAAACGGGTTACTAAGATATATTACAATTCACTACATACAATACAAAAAAAACTTAAAAATAACTAAGCCCGTCAAGCATAACTATAACACATCGCATCCTAGAATTCCTTCATGGTCAGTAGGGCTTCTACCCTTTCTACCCATAAAGGTACACATTCGTCTGTTCTTACTACCTCAAGTAATCTTGAGATGCTTTCCTTAAAATACTCTCTTGCTGGTCTTCTGTCTGGGTCACAATGAAATCCAGTCATTCTAGAGCGCCATATACTGTGCAAGGCAGTCATCATGATAAAATCGAAAGGTAATCCATCCTCGTTCTCTATTGCCAAATACCTGATACCATGAGGGTCTGACGGAAACTCTTTTTTGATTGTCTTTTGTAATACGTCCCAAAAATAAACTCCTTCCCAACATACTTGGGTTTTAGCAGCGCGAAAAATGCACAAAAGACAAGAAAGGGACGAGACAAGCACTGACTTCCAACTAAAATTTTATTGACGGGAAGACCGTTAATATGCAATGGAGCACAAAGAGTGAAAAAATGACGTATTTTAAGATACAAATTATCAACTAACGCCATGCCTGCTGCGCCTACCCTCGCATCTCAAGAAACATATCTCTTTATCTGAAAGGGCAACTGAAGGCTTGCTTACACATGCGCTGCTTTCAAGCTCCATTTGAGCAGCCTCATAAATTATACGCACGTTTTCCTCTTTAATCTTGCATAGAACTGTTGTTTTTTCAAACAGCGGAATGCACCCACACGTGCTCACGTGTTGCGCTAAGAAGCCATCTTTCCGCCACGAACATTATTGGCATGTTCCCGTAAGCGATCGTTAAGGCATCTGCCCGTCTGGCCCACATAACATGCACCGCAAGAAAAAGGGGTCCTGTAAACGACGCCTAACGCGCAGTCCACAAACTGCGTTCTGTGCCTCACCATACACCGTTTTCTCATACTCTTTACGGGGCAGGTCCTGTTTGTCAACTGGGACAACTTATCAGGGGCACTGAAGACCACTTTCACATTTAGGCGCTGTCCTATTTTCTTTAGGCGGTGTGACACAGAATGCATGTACGGAATAACCGCTACCTTTTCCCTCTTCTCCGCTGTGGTGCCATCACTGTTGCAAACAGTGCCCAATCGTTTCCTTTTTCTGTGTATTGCCTCCGCCACGGAAATGAGCAAAGTGCGAGGGTACCCTTCTCTTTCTAGGCGCTCCGACTGTGCCAAGAGACTAGCTTCTAAGACGTGGTGACACGACCTCTCTAAAGCATTGTGAAAACATGATTGAACAATGCCTCTCTTTACTAATTTGCTATGCGCAGACGAGAACGGAAGAACAGGCTTCTGCGAGCGAGGCTCGTAACACCAGCACGTGTGGTTCTCCGAAAACGGTATTTCGTCCAAAGGTTTCTTAGAACTTTTATCTTTGTACATCACATCAACGTTTGTAGAATGGAACGGAAACACATATATACAGAAAGAAGGTGTCTCAATAGGATCGTCCATAGCTCCTTTTCTTAGTGACTTGCTATTAGCCAAATTTGATAGGGCAATGAATGTGAAGCTTGGTGAACTATCTGTAGTAAAGACCTTTCGGTATGTGGATGATTATCTGTTAATTTTGAGGTGTGATTTAGAGACCTTTCATTCCAAGGTCATGCAGGTGTTGCAAATCTTTCGCGAATGCCTCTATCCACTCGCGGTGACGCATGAGATGCCGGAAAGGGATAGCATCCGCTTTCTTGACCTAAAGATTTCTTTTTCGGAGAACCACACGTGCTGGTGTTACGAGCCTCGCTCGCAGAAGCCTGTTCTTCCGTTCTCGTCTGCGCATAGCAAATTAGTAAAGAGAGGCATGTTCAATCATGTTTTCACAATGCTTTAGAGAGGTCGTGTCACCACGTCTTAGAAGCTAGTCTCTTGGCACAGTCGGAGCGCCTAGAAAGAGAAGGGTACCCTCGCACTTTGCTCATTTCCGTGGCGGAGGCAATACACAGAAAAAGGAAACGATTGGGCACTGTTTGCAACAGTGATGGCACCACAGCGGAGAAGAGGGAAAAGGTAGCGGTTATTCCGTACATGCATTCTGTGTCACACCGCCTAAAGAAAATAGGACAGCGCCTAAATGTGAAAAGTGGTCTTCAGTGCCCCTGATAAGTTGTCCCAGTTGACAAACAGGACCTGCCCCGTAAAGAGTATGAGAAAACGGTGTATGGTGAGGCACAGAACGCAGTTTGTGGACTGCGCGTTAGGCGTCGTTTACAGGACCCCTTTTTCTTGCGGTGCATGTTATGTGGGCCAGACGGGCAGATGCCTTAACGATCGCTTACGGGAACATGCCAATAATGTTCGTGGCGGAAAAGATGGCTTCTTAGCGCAACACGTGAGCACGTGTGGGTGCATTCCGCTGTTTGAAAAAACAACAGTTCTATGCAAGATTAAAGAGGAAAACGTGCGTATAATTTATGAGGCTGCTCAAATGGAGCTTGAAAGCAGCGCATGTGTAAGCAAGCCTTCAGTTGCCCTTTCAGATAAAGAGATATGTTTCTTGAGATGCGAGGGTAGGCGCAGCAGGCATGGCGTTAGTTGATAATTTGTATCTTAAAATACGTCATTTTTTCACTCTTTGTGCTCCATTGCATATTAACGGTCTTCCCGTCAATAAAATTTTAGTTGGAAGTCAGTGCTTGTCTCGTCCCTTTCTTGTCTTTTGTGCATTTTTCGCGCTGCTAAAACCCAAGTATGCCATACCAACTAGCCCAGTCAACCGCTCTATTCCTTCCCAACAGTGCAGGAAAACATGGTCGATAGTTTCCGGTTTCTTACAGATTAGACAGTGAGATCCCCAAGGCATATAAAACCCACGCTCCTCTAGGAAGGTTCTTACAGGAAGTGTTCCAGTCTGTAATTTGAAAAAGAACGTTTTCGCATTTGGAGCTGCTGGCATTTTTTTGACTCGTTTAAGTACGTTCTGACCCTTGCGTGCTGTATATAGCGCTCTGTACAGTGGGACGGGGAGCATCGTGTCACATAAATCTTTGTACAGTTTTTCTTTCCAACAGACCACAGGTAGTCAGTTGAAAAGCGAACACACAAAAGCCGCACGCTGGCCACTACTTCTTTCATGTATCCTTGCACAGCCCCTGGGGTAACATGGGTGCTCACAACAAACTCGGGCAACAGTCTACTTAGTCTTGTTTGACACACTGTTAGTAGGAAAGGATCTCTTGTCTCACGAAAAAAGAAAAACCTATTTACTAACTGCTTGATAAACAGATGTCCTAGCCCAAGGCCTCCACACTTCACCCGTCTAAACAAATTCGTGCGACTGCACCTTTCCCAGTTAGACCCCCACACAAATATTGCAAACACCCGATGTAATTTTTGCACATTGACCCGGGAACAGTACAGCACTTGCATCACATACCACAGCTTAAACACAAAAAACCAGTTGCATGCAGTAGCCCTAGCAAACATGGACAGATAAGTTGCATTCCGTCTATTCGCTTTTTCTTTAATTTCTTTCGTTTGCTGTGTCCAATATTCGTCCGTACTTTTGTATGACTCGAGTGGTACTCCGAGATATTTAACTGGCGTTCTTGCCCATTTAATGGCTGCGAAAAATTCTGGTGTTGAAGGCCAATATCCATGCCAGAAGCCGAGGCATTTACCCCAGTTTATGTGGCTTCCTGTAACTTCGGCGAAATATTTAGAACTCTGATTGATTCTTCAATACCGACGTAGGTAGTGCTACAAATCGCAACATCATCAGCGTATGCGAGTAGTTTGACCTCTGAAGATTGTACTCTAAACCCATTAATGATGTCTTCTGCAATATCGACTGACATAAAGTTTCAATATAGATGCAAAACAAAAGTGGACTAACAGGGCAACCTTGACGCACTGAGCGCTCGATTCTTATGGGGGGGCCCAATGTCTTGTTGATAATTAGTCTCGTACTACCGTTCCGATATGCCATGGCTACTCCGTCAATAATTATCTTACCAACATTAATGTGCTTCAATACTGCAAACAAAAGAGCGTGGGAAACGCAATCAAACGCTTCTCTAGATCCAGCTGGAGTATGGCCACGCGAGCATCACAGGTGTCAACACATTCGAGCACGGATCGCATTTTTATGAATGTTTGTAGCTATGGACCGACCTTTTATTCCACACGTTTGGTGTGGACCGACGATATCTTTTATTACTGACTGAAGTCTGGCCGTCAGAATTTTCATTAGTATTTTGTAGTCTACGTTTGTCAGTGCGATTGGCCTGTACGCTGTGACATGCCTGAGCTTTTCAACCTCGTCTGTTTTCGGAATCAGAACGGTACGCGATTCACCAAAGGATAATGGTAATTTCTTTTCCTCATATGCCTCATTAAAAACGCCCGCAAGTATTGAAGACAATTCGCTTTTAAAACATTTGTACCACTTGGCACAAAGACCATCTGGTCCTGGAGATTTCCCAGGATTTAACTTATCAATGGCCTGTTCAACTTCAGATGCAGATATAGATAATTCCAAAGCGTTTTTCACTTCCTCACCTCAATGCGGCATACGTTCTAAATATTCGTCTTTAAATCTTTCTAGGTTTGCCTGTCTACACGCAAAAAGGTTTTCAAAATGACTTGAAAATACGGATAAAATGCTGTCCGTATCAGTTACTTCGTGACCATCCTTCTCTATTTTTTCGATATGATTCCGTCGAGCGTTCGTTTTCTCCACCCCTAACGCTCTTTTGGTTGGCGTCTCTCCAGCCGCTAAAGCCTCGGCCCTAGCACGGACGAGTGCACCGCGGCAGCGTTCCTCGTCATGCAGTGCAAGTTCCTGCTTAATATTGCATATGTCAATTTTATACTCTCCCGGTTGTTTGCACTCCAAGTCTACTAGTCTCTCCAAAGTCTTTCGGAGTTCTTTTTCTTTCTTTTTCCTTTCATAACTCAATGCGCAAGAACGATCAATAGCTTTTATTTTTATTTGCTGCTTGAATTCTTCCTATTGTTCTGCAAGTTTAGCTCCATAATCCATTTTTATTTCATTGATGCAGTTCATAACCTGATCTAAGAAATATTCGTCAGTGATCAAAGTGGAATTCATCTTCCACAGCTCCCATGAGAAATTTCCACCTTGTGTTTTCTCTCCCATATCACATTTAACAAACAATGATCACTAAAGTGTATTGGGTAAACAGCATATGTCTTGCAGTGGGCTATTAATTCAAGCGACACGTAAATGCGATCAAGACGCGCATGGCTATTCTCCTGAAAATGTGTGAAACGCACCTCCCGCGTTCCCTCCGTACAGCTGCCCACGTCTTCTAACTCGAATTGAGTAACTACGTCCGCTAGCGTCCTCCTACTTTTATCGTAATTGGCGCGTCCATTTGCTCGATCTCGCCCATTGAGGACGCAGTTAAAATCACCAAGTAATACAGATTTCCTTTCCAAAGTGAAGTGCTGCTTTAGGCTTGAAAAAAAAGTGATCGCTCCTCACAAATGGTTGGTGCATAAATACACACTATACGCCACTGACGTTCATTGAATACAAAATCACAGGAAACCAATCTACCAGATGGGCAAGCGAAGGTATCTTGCACTACCAGACCCGGTAACTTCTTAATGAACAAAACACAGCCTGCAGAAGTGCCTATTGCTTGAGTTACAATTGCGTAGTAACGCGCCGTAAACCTCAGCCCCATGCCCCGGGTCTCCTCCTCACCGTCTACTTTTGTTTCTTGTACAGCTAGTACATCCAGGTCATGATCCACAAGTAGCCTGTAGCCCTGGCTCTGTTTCCGCTTGGCGGCGAGACCTCGAACATTTTACGATGCCACTGTAAGTTTCGGTGCAACAGCCATGTCTACACAATGAAGAAGTTAGCCCGAGGCATGGTGCTTACCTTCGGCGTCTAGCATAGACACTGAGCCACCGAGCAGCACGGTGTTCTCTGTTTAAACGGCAAGCTGTTTATATCCACCACTTACCGCTGGTTGTGGGCCTCTCGGCGGAGAGGGGGGGGGGGGAACTATCGCGTTTAAGAATCACAAACAAGATGGCGCAATGAGCGTTTGGCGGCGCGCGTTCTCCCACGCGTTATTTGCCCCTTGAGTGGAGAAGGCAGACGCACGCTCGCGCGCCTTTATCTTGCGGGGGGGGGGGGGGGGGGGCAATCGTATGCTTTAAAGGCGCTGCGCCGTGCTCCCTACCGGGCTTCAGAAATTAGGCGCCTTCTTGCTTTTCTCACCACTACCACTACCACATCTCGGCTGGCGTTGTACTTTCCCTAGAACGCTTCTGTTTGGATTACCGGGCGCACAAAGTTCCCTGCGATCGTTGCGAAGTCTCCATTTGCGAAAGGGACGAGATTTTCAGACGCAGCGAAGTAACAACTGAGACGCTTATTCGCGTTCATCTGTACCTGTGAGCATGTTTCGTGCGTCATTTGTGCGTGAGAAACACGGGGCAAATTTTGATCTGCCTGCCATTCGGCGCGTGGCCTTACAGTTTGTTGCTATCGCGTTGATTGATTTGCCTTTGCGGCAAAGCTATGACTTTCTAGCCTAAACCTTAATAGGCTCCTTAAGCTTAGCCTTATCGCGCTCCATAACCTGTTTACTTTTGTGTCTTACACCTACCGTGCAGCATCAACGCTCTGCTCTTATTCGGAGAAGAGGGAACAATGTCACTGCAGTACACCACATCCTGTGCGACTGTCCGTTGTATGACATTTAGAGACAGTCACTGGCGTCCGTTCTTGCGCGCACCGACAACAGCCGAATGTCTGTGTACACTGTTCTTTTAAATGCCCGAGCGAAGGCACTGCAACAGAAGGCGGCAAAAGCACTGTTGAAATTCCTACACGACACGGACTTGAACAAACGGCTGTAACAGCAATGTCACGCACCACGAAAGACAAGACAGGACTATGACTGAGTGTGTGCGCGTGTGCTGCCTAATGCGCTGTGTTTATCTTTCTTCCCTCTATCCTCTCTATCTTTCATCTCCCCATCCCCTTCTTAAGTGCAGGGTTGCGAACCAGCTGCCAATAGGCTACTTAACCTCTGTTCTGTTCTTTTCCTGCTATTTACCTTCCTTCCACCTTTTTTTAAGGAGAGGAGCATTTCCGTATTTCTTGGATGTTCACGAGAATACAAAAGCCGACGTAACATCCTCAGCAGTGCATTTTTGGGGTGGTCACACGAACTGACAACAGCCCAGAGAGGACTCTGGTGGCACCGAGGCAGCCTTCAGTGATAAGGTCTATGGTGGGTCACATGCTTATCCAGAGGCAAAAGACACACAGGAAGAGCACGAGCTATCCGTCTTTCGAGAGTACGCCCATGCGACGCGTCTGGTAAGAGTGCTGCTGCTCTACATCCACGTCCAATAAACCTCACCAGGACCTTCAAACGGACGTGACAATATATTCAAAGTAAATAAGGCATTAGGCTAACTAAAAAAAGAAAACTTTCTTTTAGTCTTTTTTTCATTTCGAGCCTGGTGGCACACACGTCATCTCCCCATTAAAAAGACGACGCTCATAGAATCTATCTATTCATTGAGGCACCCATGGCTCACTGATTTGTGTTTGACCGATGTGCTATGATTTTTTCTTAGTATTGAGCACTTATTGCTTGTATAAAGCTTAAGAAACGGACTTTGAAGTTATGAAAATTGTATACTGGCTTTTTCTTTCGCAGGTCCGTATCCGTATCCGTATCCATATGTGGTAAGTAAATGTGACATAACATCTACAGTAAATGAGTTTCAGGTGATTTTTAAAAAAAAACGATTGTGTGCCTTTCGACAGCTCTCTGTTTAGTGCTCCACTTTTCAAGTACGATTTACATAGAATGCCGAGGCTCTCTGCAATGAAGAGGAGTAAACATGAGGGCAACTTTATTATTTCATACCGCAATATATACACTGCAAAGCAGCAACTGGCACAAAGAATTCCAAGGAAGTAGGAAATGAGCGTATTGGCACGCATTTTTGTTTTATGCCCTAATTCAGGGACCTACTAAAAGGAAGAAATGTAAGAAGTAAGAGTGGCTATAGTCGAAGCTTTTTTTATATTCTAATGTAATTAGAATATAAAATGGCAAATCGATTCACTGTATATTTTCACTATCCAATATAATCTACATAAATAAACTTCATAAAAAATTTTGATATCACCGCAAGAAATCATGTACCTGATTCCGAAGAGCAATGCGAAAATAGTCGAACTAGTTTCAGTCCGCATTAGTCACTGGCTATGGTGAAGTAGTTTTCCAGCCGTGGTTCGTGCCACTGGGAGTGGCTGTAGCAGTTGTGAGAGCACGGTATTGTGTACTACGCAGACAACGTCATCGCGACCCAGTGCCGAAATTGTATTCGACAACACCCACGCAAGAAACGAAAACCGTTGTAGAAGAATGTCTATCGTTAGAAAAACCAGCAATATCATGGATTAACTTTGGGTTAAACATCTGCAATGAACACTTTATTGATCAATCGCTACTGCTGCTACCGATTCGAAAAGCATGCTAAAATGCTGATACAATGTTATAGGCCCGTTAAAACAGTGTTAGGTCATTGGCACCAGTGTGTTCAGTGACCAGTTGTAGTTGTCGTGGATGATTAAATGTGCAACAGTTTCGCTGTGCCCCAAATGTGTCATGCAGCTAACCATTATACGTGGCAACACTTACTGCCTGCATATGGTTTACGTAGGGTAGTGTTGCACAAGCCTTAATTTTCAGTATATTATTCGCCGAATAGGAAACTTAGTTATTATTGACTGGGCAGACTTTTTTTAGTTGCGAGAGTTGCTAGTTGTATTTTTCGTAATCTACAATATTGAAACTCTACTGTTCTATTGATTGATCGTTATTTTGCGAATTATTGTTGAATTCGTAAATTTCATACGCGCACACCCCTAATAACGCAGGAAGGAAAGAATGCCCCTTTGTCTTTTACTTGCTTCGCGCTTTGCTCCTGGCATTTCTTCCACAACGTTGTTGCATTTCAGGACGGACTTGCCTGTACGGCACAGTTAAATACTTCTCAACCTCACATCAATTAGAGCAACCGACAGCGCATGAGCACGAATAAGCCCAGCTTGTTTTCATTTTATAGAGCATAATGGCAGCGCGGCTGTTCCTCTACGTATATTTATCCACTCTCCTCGCCGCGGACTATAGTAATACTGCGGCGAACAGTAAAATCATACCATAACATTTGTACCATAAAGGCCGAACGCGGGAAACGGAAATATTTGGAATATGGTATACTTACAAAGAGGCTTCATCTCCAATTGAGGATCACGCAGCGAGCGATGCAAAGAGAAATGATATGTGTAACTTTAAAAGACGAGAAGAGAGAAGAGTGGGTCAGAGATCACACGGGGCTTATGGATATCGTAGTCGAAATCAAAAAGAAATGGACATGGAACGGCCGCAAAGCACGCAGGCAGGATACCCGCTGGCCATTTAGGGTAACTGACTGGATTCCCGGAAAAGGCAAGTGGGTGAACGGAGACAGAAAGTTAGGTGGGCAGATGAGAATAGAAAGTTTTTGAGTGTAAAGGGGCAGCAGCAAGCACAGGACTGAGTTGACTGGTGGAGCATGGGAGAGGCCTTTGCCCTGCAGTGGGCGCGTGAGGACATGTGAAACTTATACAGTGCTGAAGAATGGACACGTTCTAAGCTACCATACATTAGTTGGCAGGAAAAAGCTAGGAGTGGGGTTCCTCATGCACAAACATATCGCTGGCAACATAAAAGAATACTATAGCATCAGTTAGAGTTGACAAGCATCATAATTGGGTTTAACAAAAGGTACAAGATGAAAGTGGCAAAGGCCTACACGCCTTCATCAAGCCATGATGATCATTTTGTAGAGTGCTTTTATGAAAATGTAGAGTCAGCCATCAATAAATTAAATACACAGTATTCTATTCTTATGGGCGAGTTTATTGCCAAAACAGGCAAGAAACAGGCCGGAGACCATGGGGGGGGTGGGGGGGGAAGGGATATCACATCGGCTCTAGAAATGCCAGAGGGTAGTTATTAGTAGAGCTCGAAGAACGTGATAATTTATGAATTATGAATACCTTCTTTAAAAAACGGGCTAACCGTAAAAGGACGTGGCGATGTCCTAATGGTGATACTAAAAATGAAATTGACTTCATTATGTGTGCACACTGAGACATTGTACAGGATGTAGAAATAGTTGGCAAGATTAGATGCAGTGGCTATAGAATTGTAAGAGCTCGTATTAACCTTCATTTAAAAAAGCAAGGACAAATATGCCTTGACCAGGTGTCATGGCGTGGAGCAAATATCTCTTGATTTTCCCTGGAGTTTATTTGTCGTTTTCTTCTCTATCCTTCGTTTTACCTTTCCAAATACTTATTGTCTGTATTGTTCTCATGAAAAACTTTCAGACATCTGACATTGAAAAGCGGGCTTCATCCGAACATGGCATTCAGTTGAAAAGTAAGTTTCTTACTTCTCACCCCTCATTTCTCACAACGAATACACAACTGGTATGGAGATATTGTTGCCAACCCGAAGTTGCCAACCCGAATCAAAACATTTAGTTGACCCAAACTTCGGAATTCGTTGAGCAAATTTAATGTTGAAGTTTCACTGGAGCCGTAAATAATAAGCCCCGATTTACTACCAGCGTGATAAACAGTCTATTATGATCTAACCGTTGCATAAAGCAAATCGAGGCTCCGTATTGTGCCTGGAACACGTTTTCTTACAGTATGATAGTTGATATCATTTGTGTAGGCCTTGCCAAGATAAATCCCCATTAAACGTTTGGCAGATATTGCGCTTTTGCCCACAACGCAGTATAGGGAAATTTAAACTGCGCTAAAAACGAGACACGAAAAGAAAGTGTAAAAGACGATCGCACTTTGTTCTCGTGTCTTGATTTTAGCGCAGTTATGATTTTCCTAAATGTTTTACTAACTAAACCTCATCATGCCCTTCTCCAATGCATATAGGATGATTCACTGAGAGTGTTGGGCTCGTGCTATGAAACATAATTATTAAAAATTACTCCGGAGTCACATATTCTTGGCATGTTTCTCATGACATCAATTCCTATGCTACGTGGGATCCGCCTGAATTTTTCACATGTCGACTGAAACAATCGATGTTTTCTTCTTTTCGCAAACTTTTGGAATTACGAAACAATTTGGCCGCAGTAAAACAACTTCCTCTTACTGTTACTGCGGTATAAAAGCTTAACCTAAGAAATCGTGGCTTTGTGGATGAAATGCGTAAATAGCTGGGCAATGCTTTCTGTAGTAGAACCCAAGCAACAATGCTGTCTCAATTGTGAAGTTGCAAACGCCAGTTCATCCTCACGATGTCAAGTCAGACCGGGACAGCTCGAAGCTCTCCCTCAGTACAGAACATCGTGCTCTAAATCGGCAATATATATATATATATATATATATATATATATATATATATATATATATATATATATATATATATATATATATGTGTGTGTGTGTGTGTGTGTGTGTGTGGTGTGTGTGTGTGTGTTGTGTGTGTGTGTGTGTGGGTGTGTGTGTGTGTGTGTGTGGTGTGTTGTGTGTGTGTGTGTGTGTGAAATCTAACACACAATAATGCCAAGGAAAGTATAGGGGAGGTTATTACACCGAATTGTAAGGTATGTGTGAAGGAAGAAAGTGCGTGAAAAGATAACTTGCAGTGGGCAGGAACCATAAGTTATTTTTTCGCCCACTTTTTTTTTCGCACATTTTTTCAATACCTTACGATTCGATCTAACAACCTCCTCCATACTTTCCATGGCTATATTGTCTGTTAGATTTCATTATTATTGTGTCAGAAAACGAAAACACGAGCCCTTAAGTGTGCACTTCTTTCCATTTAGAATATATATATATTATATATATATATATTATATATTAATATATATATATATATATATATATTATATGTGTGTGTGTGTGTGGTGTGGGTGTGTGTGTGTGTGTGTGTTGTGTGTGGTGTGTGTGTGTGTGTGTGTGACGTATGAAGGCATGGCAGAAGAACTCTGGGAAGAAGTGAGAATGTAAAAAACATGGCGTATAAGGCAGGGCCACGTCTCCCGCATCATAGTGTCACTCGAGTCGACAGGATGAAGACCTGGCAGCCACTTTATCAAGTGGCCATTATCATCGAACACCTCAGCAAGAAAGTGGCCGAATGTGGACCACACAAGTTCATCCCAACTCTACACCAAGACCAGCATCATGACAGCACTATCAGCAGACCTTGACTTCCCCAAGTACACTGGATCATCAGACGATTACCCATACAGGACTGGTTCAAACCTTTTCGAGCTCCATGCCGCCGCTGCATCCTGGTCGAAACGGGAGATGGTCCCAACCTACACCGACTAAATCACGGGTGTGGCATTCAAATTTTACCTCACTCACATCTTCGAGAACGATGTCTTAGAAAAAGATTAAAGAAGAAATGATCACCCGTTTCAAATAATACGATAAAGATCTTTCGACACCGCATCAGCGGAAGGCTTTTCAATTCACCTATCACAGTTATGCGAAGTCTTCCCACAGTAAGCCTATTTTCCAAAAAAGACATCAGAGAAAATATACCACCGTTGTACCATCGTATCACTTTTCCCAAAAAACGTCATGCATTCGAACACCGACTGGTAACTTGCACGTCGCAACAAAAAAGGTAAAGCCTACGTATACCGAAACGAATCGAGCATTTCGCCAAAAGACTGAGCCTAAAGCGGGCTTTCCCAATAGCATTAAAATCGGCATTCTTAACATGTTCACTGCACCACAACACTTCAGATGTCACTGAACCACCCGAATAACTTGATGCTTCTTGTCACACACAAGGCCCCGACAGTTTCGAACGTGTGAAGGCATTTACACGTGACGAGCTGGTGAATCCTCACAATACCAGTCATCCAGGACCAGAGTGACGTTCCCGACCAGAGTCTTTCAACAGAAATTCTCAGCCTAATCATGCTGCAAAAAAAAAAAAACATACGCAATCAGAACCACCCAAAGCCATGTCTGCTGTGCTCTCATCGTCAAGTGATAACACACATGCGAGTCGAAGCACGGCAGAAATTTCGAATCCACCAACGCCGGCACCTTCTCCACTGACAAAAGCATTTACAATCAATGATTACTCACAACAATCTTGGGAGCTTTCTCAACAGTCTGTCATGCTGCTTTCATCGCAAGACAAGCCCAGCAGTAGACTATCAACTACCGACTATCTACTGATCACCTCATCGCGCAAACAAAAGTACACTCGTGTTCCTGAAAGATGCATCTGACCAACTTTCGCAAGAAAACGAGCAATTTCAACAAAGGCAACTCCACGAACTCCAGACACTACAGCGCTTACTCGAATGTAACCAGAAAACAAGCGTAACCTCACCACGAGTACACATGTGGCTTAATCGGAGACAACACTAATTTAAGAAGCAAAGAAAAAGTCAATGCCTAAACCATCTTAACAGAAAGCAACGCCGACAAAGTTTTGTGCACCAGTTCTCAAGGCCGTGTCTACGATTCAACAAACTCTCACAGAAAGATACGAAAGAGACATTCAGCTACCGCGAATACAATGAAGAAATACATGCATCCCATAATCAGCTGCGGTTCTCCCACATGCAGGCTGCATGCACTCGTCCTGTCTCAGCCACTCCACAGAAAGCAGCGTCTAGGACGGAGAACTCGGTGCCTACGACATCTGACCCTCAAAGGCTACAAGGACTTCCCCCGTGTTCATTCCTCGCAACAATTGGTGTGTCATCAGTAATTTCTACCTTCAGGCCGTGCTTCTGTTGGCCAGAACACAACAGTGAACCTCACCCACCAGAGTTGTTACAGCATTCACCGGACTGCTCCCTCGGCCTTGAAGCTTTAGTGAGATTGTAAAACTCCGTCAGGATGTGAAACTGGGAATTCGGGCATTTTGTTTATTCTCTTCTTGACTTTGTTCTAGTTTTTAACCAGTGTCATCTTTCGGGGGGAGGGAGAATCATGTGACGTATGAAGGCATGGTAGGAGAAGCCGAGGAAGATGAAGCGAGAAGGGAATAAACATGGTGTATGAGCCAAGCCACGTCTCCCGCTTATAGCGTTCCTATATATATATATATATATATATATAATATATATATATATCAACTTCACCTTCATTGCAGCGCCACACCACAAGCTGCTTTCAGGAATGTGAATCGGCTTTCTTTTGACATGTTGAAGCCCTCACAACCGACCCTGTACTTGCCCATTTTCACGATGCACCAACTCTTCTACACACAGACACCCATAGCCGTGGTTTAGGCGCCGTTCTTCTACAACTCGACAAAGCCTCGCGAGAGCGTGTCGCTGCATACACCAGCCGCGTGCAATTCACAGTCGAGGGGTACGATACGATCACCGAGCAGGTGTGTCTGGCCTTCATTTGGTCAGTGCAGACGTTTTACCAGTATTTTCATGACCCCCACTTTACCATTGTAACCGACCACCACGCGCCACGCTGGCTTTCTACGCTCAAGAACTTGTCTGGACACCTCGGCTGATGAATTCTACGCCTTCAAGAGTATGACTTCGACATCACATACAAGGTGTGGCAAAAACCAGTTATCTATCTATCTATCTATCTATCTATCTATCTATCTATATATTATATTATATATATATATATATTATATATTATATATATATATTTATATATAGATATGATCGTGTGGTAAGTAACGCGCCTTATATCAAGATGTTAGCGTTGCCTCCGGGACATCCATCGCACGACCCGCTCTCGACGGGAGACTGAGAGGGAAGCTCGGGGCGCGCGAGAGAGAGGGGTGCGCGCGCAGCTGCAGCGAGCGAGTGAGAGCGGAGGAGCGACACCGATAATCAGCGTCGCGTCCGTGACTGAGCTTCGGTAGAGCGTCGCGCTGCGGCCCGCCAGGTCCTCTTTCTTTTAAAGATAGAGAGAAGACTGGACGCCGCCGACGATGTGGATGGTTTGGGGGTCGCTTATAAAGTGTATTCACACTTAAAAAAAACATCGAGACGCCGACGCTGTTTCTCACTGCCCACTACCCACTACCCCGCTCGCGTTTTTCATCTACTTGGGCAGGAGAAACACTCGAGCTCTACTTCTAAATTGGTTAGTTCTCCGGCCGCTATAGACGAGCTTCCTTTCCAGCAAGACTTTCCCTACAGTCAGCTGGCGGACCCGTACTGTCGGCGTAACATACGCTACATCGCTGGTGATTTCCGTCCGCATAACGCAAGGCTTCCGTCACCAACTCTCGCAATTTAAGCTGGACAACTCGGTTCCGTAGCGCCGCATTTACCATCCTGACGGTCAGCGCTGGGTTCCCGTTCAACACGTTCTCTTAGCTCCCGCGTCCTCAGAGCATTTCCTGATGATCCCACTGT